ACCGAAATATACAATTTTGTTCATGTAAACAAAGAAACAGCGCAATTGTTACTTTGTCTAATGGTTTGCTTCAGAGTCCATCAAAACTGAAACCATACATTTTAAGATATATGGGTTTTGTGTGAATAAGTGCGCTCTTAAAGAACAGCATATTTAATATGGCTCGGAATTTCATTAACGACCAGTTAGCTAAAGAACAACAATTTCCCTCCGGGTAGTGTCACAACCGATGACCAAGACCTATATCTTACTTGGAGAAAAGACATATGCTAAACGTTGTGTCGCTGATGTGATGGTTCATCTGTGGTTACTAAAAGTATACAACAAGCGTTGGCCCTGTGGAATTCAAAGAAAACAAATTATCGAGGGGCAATCGACCAAGCGGGCAATACAGAGAAATTTGCAATCGCGCAGTAATTGCGCAAAATACAAAAGGAAAGACAAGGGTGGCACCGAGAAATGTTCTCAAACAGGAAAATATTGAAGGACATGTCAGCGAAAGAACGAAAGAAACAACCTGGCAAAAATTCAAAAGAATTCATACAGAGAAAACGAGAGGAATTTTGTATTTAGAGATGAATGCAACAGCGCAAACATAAAAATCATTTAGGCGGTAAACGAGATCATGAAGATTATGAATGACCTGCCTGAAACTTAATAGCCTTAAGGGATAATTGAAAATAATCTAAATGGGTAAATCCAGAGTCTACACGATAACATCTAGACAAATACCAGGAAGAATTTTTTAGTCATTTGAGAAATAAGCAGCCCGTTCCAGTGTCGCTGGAGCTTTTGCACATGACCGCTATAGAAAAAATAAGTTCCACTCCATCTTTTGTATTCCCTTAACCATCTTGCATGTTCCTACACAAACTGCAGTTTACCACCTCTGATGCAGCATGAAAGTTTGGGTCTGCTCCACCCGTCCTCCAGTGCATAGATAAGCAATGGAGGTTCCGTTAGCGCAATGACACCTTCAACTGACGCTGAACTCACACGAAATTTTACTTCTGCTTTCAGTCTGACACCGTCGAATTTGAATTTCAGTGCAATATTGCGGGCCACAGGCCGTCAAGGTACTCGAATGCACAAGCAAAATGTTTTTGAAGGGAAATGTAGCATCGCGTCTAGCCCAAGACCCATTTAATCTGCAAATGTTTAGTAGTTATTGTGAGATAACTTCTGCCAGACTGCCTACGTAAATACATAAACAACGATCTTCATCAAGATTCGCTTACGAATTCCCTATGCGTGGAAATGTGGAGCCGCGGAGGCTCACGAGGGGATTTATCCTCTATAGAATACCTATAACCTAACTGCCTGCGGTGCTGCCATGCGATACCAATCGAACTTTCCACTGGTAGACGACTGTGCTAAAAGACTACTGAGAGACACAGGTGCTGCTTTTTCACCTTTCTGAATTCTTAGCTTTCTACTCACAGCGTCTTTTTTGAGAAAAATGCTGTAGCATGACCGTCCCATAACATAGCTATGCTGGCTGCGTTTATAAGGCCTTATACGTGCAGAAAGTACGGTAGTCGATCCCGCGTGTTGCGCACAACTCTGGTGAAGCCGAGGGGACGACCGGTTTCGGTCAGCCAGCCAGTATGCTCCGTGTGTAGACGGGCAACCAGTGCTTGCCTCTTTTCACTAGGGCCGATGACCGACTTAGTATATGCGTTTAGTATTCCACAAATTGCGGTGGATTATATTGGAAATATTGGGTTAAATGGGTTGGGTGCTAGGTATCCAGCTTTGGAATGTTATTTGAGCGTAAGTGCAGTAGATGCTTCACTGATTCGGTGAGTTTGTTTTATGTGTTCTTCACCTACCACACGCTCGTGGGGATGGAGTATGCTTACGTGTTTGTGGTTTGGAAGGTTTGGCTTGGAAGGTTGCCAACTGACGGGGTACCTTGGACCTCCTCCTTAACGGGAGGCGGTCTGAGAGTCAGGCTGCAATGGCTCCTTTTTAATGTGGCCTTTATGGCATTCCCACCACAGTGTGGGATCCGAGCCAGGTGTCGGCGGCACGCCTAGGTGCGGCTTCGGCCGTGCCAGCCTCCAAATCTCTGTTGTTGGTTGAAATCCTGGTTATTGTTGTGTGGACCAGGGGGTGTGGTGGAACGCCAAGGTGAGGATCCGTCCGAGCCATCCACCTGCGGCCTCCCTCGTCTCCGGTCTTCTTGACTCTGTCTTGACACCGGGCCCAGGCGGGGGAGGAGGAGAGAGTGTAGGTAGATGCTGCGCAAGTCTGCTGGCACTATAAACCCCTGCGTAAGTCACCGTCCCTGCTCCCACAATGCAGTCTGTGAGGCACACGGTGGACATCATCGAAATCGACGGTCGAACTGTCGGTTTACAAAATATGCTCCAGCCAATTGCTGAGCGAGTTAGAGACGGTTACGTGGTTGTTAACGGTGTCAAACCCACTGCCGTTGTCAGTACTTTCACTAGCTTCTAAGTAACCTATGCTCACCGCATCAAGTATTCTTTTCTCAAATCTAACCCAACGCCGACCTATTTGTCTGCTAGCCCTCTTCCTCATTATTTTACCTTAGAAAGCCTGCTGCCGAATCTGTCGTTTGATATTTTTTCAGAGCTCGAAAAACTTTCGGTGAGTGAGCAAGGTATAGCTGGCTGGCTGTTCGACTGCAACTTCTCTGCGTCATCATCGCACTTGACTTCACTCCATATTTTTATGTCATCCGCGAACATGAGAGCCTCGCAATTCACTTCGCTGTTGCAGTCATTAACATAAATCAGGAAGAGAACTGGGCCTAAGACAGAATCCTGTGGGACAACACTTTCCACTTTTACCCATTCCGAGGTAGAATTACAAACGAAGACTCTTTGTAGTCTGGAGGACAGAAAACTCCTGATCCACTTAAACATTCTTCCTTGAATCCCTACGTTCCAGATCTGTTGTAAAAGAAGTCTGTGTGGGACACTGTCAAAGGCCTTCTTGAAGTCAAAAAATAAGACATCTACTGGGAAACCTTTATCGGTAGCTCGTATCCATTTCTCGTGCGAGTAAAGAACACTCATTATGCAGGGGCGCCCTGGACGTAAGCCGTGTTGGGCATCGCACAATATTTTGTTCTGTTCCAGGTATTTCATTAAGTGTCTTTTGATAATGCGTTCCATCATTTTACACGCGATGCAAGTAAGACTGACAGGACGATAATTTCCGCAGTCAAGTCTTGAGCCTCCTTTGTGGATCGGAG